TGCTCCTGTCATTTCATGGATGTCCCCTCCTGTCCTGTGCATGTGTAGGTATGCTCACGTGTGTGTGTGTGTGTGTGTGTGGTGTGCAGAGTACTGGGTCTACACACACAGAGTGTTGGTATCATTTGGAAAACTTAAACAGAACCAATAGTAAAATGTGGTACTGCTCTAGTACCGCATACTCATTGTAAAATTATTCACTGTAACATTGTCACACAAATATGAGCTGCTTGCATTGCCTGAATGCTATAGTCTCCAAGAGAGGCTGAAAGTAAACACTGGAAAAGCCAATAAATAACATGTTTCAGACAACATGGTCAAAAGCAGAAATGGGGGTGATTTTGCAAAGAAGGTGACTGCCCCCCTGTGACCACAAGAACACACTGGAATCTTCATGGAAGATTTTGCAAACTCTACCCTACTTCCAGGATGAACTGGGCTTCTCCTTGGAACTGCTCCTACCTGCTGGCCCTCCCACCCCTCTGTGCACCAGAATCTCTAGGGACAGTTAGGGATGATGTAGATGGGAGAATGGGGTGCATGGAACACAGGGGGCAGAAGTGGAGTCAGAAAACCCCTACATCCAGGAGAGGCTATGACAGCAGGTTGCAGAGCTGGGGCAGGTCACTGGAGCCCAAAGTCCTCAATGCCCATATTGAATGGGGATGACCCTGACCTCACAGGACTCCTCTGACAAGCACATGAAAAAAACAATAAAAACACCTAACACATGTAAAGCATAATTTTACTTGGTTTATTTCTACTGTCTTACTCTATTTTTCTTTTAAATCCAGGCTCACTCCCACCACTAAGAATAATAAGACATAAAGTTCGAGGAAGGACACTTTTGTTTTCTAATGCACTGAGTCCAGGCAGAAAGTCAGTGTGGGCCATGTTATGCAGAGAGCACCGTTCCCTTATTTGTTCATATTTCTTTCTAGGCGCGCTGTAAGCAGCGCTGGCCACCACACAGGGCTGCAGGGCCTCCAGACCCGGCCTGGCCTGGCCCTGGGCAGACTGTTGCTCGGAGCTCCCTCAGGGATACTGGCCTGGTGGGAAAATACCCCTGTAAGGTCTTCCTTCCCTTCCTGCTCTCCTTTTGCCCTGGGCCCCTGGCAGGGTCCTTGTGGCTCCTGACTTAGTGGACGGGAAAGAAGGAAAGAGAATTGAGCTTGGGTGAGGAAAGATCAACGTTCACCCCTTTTGGGGACCAGCTCTGAGGCCAAGCTGCTGGCCCGAGGGTCTGAGCTTCCGGTGGAGAGGAGGAAGAGCACAAAAGAGCTGGTGCATTCTTACAGGTCATTGAGAACACCGGCCCCCACCTGAGAAGAAAAATGGAAACACAGAGCGACATACCCAGGAAGAAACAAAAAATATTAATAACAGGCTTATGAAAACGTACACCTCACTAATCATTAGGCATGCCAATCAAAACATTTAGATGTCAATTTTTCCTTCTCCATTTTGTATTGTTTTAGGAAGATGCCTTGTTTTAGGAAAGGTTAAATTGTGCAAGCTCCCTCTTGAGCAGCTTCTGGAAACAAATTATTTTGAAAATGGTCAGAGTGGGGACTGACATGCATTCAACATTTGCTCTGGTTCGGGACATAGCGTAGGAGCTCTCTAAAGAATGAGATTATCAATCTTCTCAACACCCATGGGATGTACCACCATTATCTCCATTGTATAGACAGGGAAACAGAGATTTGAAGAGACCAACAATTTGCCTGAGGTCAGATAATTAGTAACCTGGAGGTGCATGTCAAACCCAAATCTCTGATCCCAAAGCCCATGGTCATGACCACTATGTTTTTCTGTCTCAAAGCCTTAAAATCCCATATGAGTAATTGTTCTTGTAATCATCTGTCCCCAGGAAGTGATCAGAGATACAAGAAAGACAGATATACAAGGGTACACCCTCTACTGAAATTATGGAGGCTTATTAACTGCAGATGTTTTCTAATAGGGGAATTATTTTAAAAATAATAAACAAAAGATTAAATATCATTATGTAGTCATTCATCAGCAGTCATATTTTTGAAGAAATTTTAATAGAAACAAAATGTTGATGATATGATATTAAGTTAAAAAGGCAGGTGTAAAACTACATAGACTATAGTTTCCAAGACATGTGAACAAATTAACGGAAGTTATCTTTGGGTTGACAATGAATAATTTAATATTTTAAATTAGGTAGAGAGAGCTGGGCACGGTGGCACACGCCTATAATCCCAACAGCTCAGGAAGCTGAGGCAGGAGGATCACAGGTTTGAAGCCAGCCTCAGCAACTTAGTAAGGCTGTAAGCAATGCAGTGAGACTCTGTCTCAAAATAAATAAAAAGGGCTGGTGATGTGTGGCTCAGTAGTTAAGTGCCCCAGGGTTCAATCCCCAGTCCCAAAAACAATAGGTAGGAATTTGAATCTCAACACAAAGAAATGATAAATATCTGAGATGACAGATAAACCATTGACCCTTACCTGATCATTACACATTGTATACATTAAATGTGTATAGAAAAATCACAGCATACCCCATAAACATGTATAGTTACTATGTGTCGATTAAAAATAAAAGAATTTATCTTTGGGTGGTGAAATGGGAAAATTGATTTTTTTTCTTCTTTTTGCAAAATTTGTGAAATAAGTAGTTATTATTTTTAGCATTCAGGAAAATGCAAAAGAAGTTGAAGCAGAGGCTCCTCTTCCAGGGTGGATTGGGTTGGCCAGAGTAAGAGGGGAAGATGTGGATTGTAGAAAAGGAGCAGGAAAGACTCAGAGAAGGGCCAAGCCACAGACTGCCTGAGACAGGAGGGACAGTGTGCTTCTGAGACTTCCAATAATTGGCTCTCCTGCCGGTTCTCTTCCCATGAAGCCTTACAAGGGTAAGCCACAGGAATGCCCTGGGGCCCTGTGGCTGCTTGGGGAGAAGAGGAGCGGGGAAGGCAGGGGTAGAAGGACATTCTCACCAGCCACTGTGGTTGGTGGTGGTGGAGAGGGAAACCCCAGAGCTACTACTGGGTCTGAGACAAGAAGGGGCACAAGTGAAGCCAGCCCAGGGTGGGAGGAGGCCAGAGGGGGGCGGGTCCTGGCTGAGGCTGTTTCCCCCTTGCACAGCTATGAATGGGGAGAGCAAACCACTTTCCTTCAGTACTTACAGCAAGCCGCACAGAAGGCTTCTGGGACCCCAAGAGGACTGGGGATTCTCCCTACCAGCAAGCAAGCCATTGGTTCTGCAGCCACAGACACCTCCCAGGTGTCCTCCAATTCTAGTCAGTTCTCCAATTCCAGCATCCACCTGGAGACAGTGTCAGATGGCACCAGCTGAGGACTGGTGCCCAACACTGCTCCCCATCTTCAGATGCCAGTCCCAAGCCCCAGGAAGTTTCGCCTGTGCTTCTGTCTCACAATATAAACGAGGGTTCCTGCGATTGAACCTTCGTTGGGTTCTATTACTTTGCTCAAGTGGCTCACAGAACTCAGGGGAGCATTTACATTTAGTGGTTTATTTTAAAGGGTGTTACAAAGGATGCAGATGGAGAGGTATATGAGGTGAGGTCTAGAGGGACACAGACTTCCATACTCTCTCTGGGAAACTCCGTGTGTTCTGCAATCTGAAGCTCTGTGGACCTGTCCTCCCAGGTTTTATGGAGGTGCATTACCTTGGCATGATTGGTGACATCATTGGTCATTGATGATCAATAACCTTCAACCCCTCTTTCCCCCCTGCAGGTGCAGGATGGTGCTAAAAGTCCCAATCCTCTCATCCTGCCTTGGTCTTTCAGTGACCAGCCATATCCTGAAGCTGCCAGCCACCAGCCACTTCATTAGCATGCAAAAGACACATTACTTTGGAGATTCCAAGGATTTCAGGAGTGTATGCTGGGAAAAGAGAAAAGACCAAATACATGTTTCATAGTATCTCAATTGGTTATAGCTAAGGTTCACTGGCTGTCCTGGACATCCAGCCAAGTCTTAGAAAATGTGTTCCAAGTTTCCAAGGAAGACTGACAAGTGACTCTTAACACAGTCCCATCTGTCAAGATGAGACGGCTTATCCTTTGCTGTCAAGAGTTCACAGAGAAACAATCTAGAAAGCCCTGTAAGCCCTTCCCTGAATCCTGTTCCTACCCATGTCTCAGTGGGTTGGGGTCAGGGAATCCTCGGGCAACCAGGACACCAGGTAAGGACAGAGAAGTGTGGACCAGGCAGTCCTGGGCCCTGACCCCACAATCCTGCATGCCCGCCCACCCTAGGTAGCCCTTGTCCCCTGAACCCCAGTTCAACAGAGCGACCCTCTTTTCTTCCTCCCTCCCTCTCCCCCTGTCTCTCCTATTGGCAGCTGGATCGTCCTGTCAGCTAAGCCCAAGAGGATGACCCCCAATGTACAGGAGAGAAAGACACAAACAGCTGTTAATTGTGTTTACTGGTGCATAGAAACTGTTGGGGGGTTATGTGGATATTATAAACAAAAGCCAAGGCATGGGAAAGGAAGAGTATCTCAAGAGAGAGATGGGGCAGAAGTTTCTAGACACAACCATGAGCGCTTACTTCTTTTTGCATGGGCTTTTGATCATTGGTATGTTTTTTATCCTTTTTTATTTTGGATCCTTTCTCCTAGCTCTGTCCTCTATTTTTGGTAAGAACCCTTAGAAATCTCTTTCAGGAAGGCAGGGGACAAATTAGGAACACAGTGGGTTTTTCCACAGGGCTAGAGAGAAAGAATCCTGGTTGGAGGCAATGGCTAGAGGTGAGGTTAGAAGCCCAGTCTTGGGTTCAGTGGAGGAAACCCGGAGATCACAGTGGAATCTGCCTGGGCGGAGAACAGAAGGGGAGAGGAATGGGGGGAGAAGATGGGAAACACAGCAGCACACATCCTCCCACACCACTGTGAGGGAGGATCAAAAACCAACTCACTGTGGGATGCACAGCAAATGACACCATCAGCTCCATCTTCCATTTCTGACCACAGGTGTGCAGGAGGAAACCAGTGATCCCCAAGAATGGAGCCATGGACAGTGACCCTGAATCCTTCGGAATCCACACTGTATCCCAGAAACGACTCCCTGGATGGAACAACCTGGTCATCAGAGCAGGTGAGGGAGCCCCTGTCAGAGGCCGAAAGACAGCACGGCCATGTCTACTTTTCCCTGCTCATCTGTGTCCCCGGAGTCACTGGGAACGGACTCCTGATACTGTTTCTCATCTTCTGCGTCAAGAGGAAGCCGTTCACTGTCTACATTCTGCATCTGGCCATTGCCGACTTCATGGTCCTTCTCTGCTCGTCCATCTTCCAGCTGGTGGACAGCCTCCACCTGCACGATGACACCTTGCTGAGCTACGTCCTCCTCCTCATGATCTTCGGCTACAACACGGGTCTGCATTTGCTCACTGCCATCAGCGTGGAGCGCTGCCTCTCGGTGCTGTACCCAATCTGGTACCAGTGCCGCCGCCCGAGGCACCAGTCGGCCATGGCCTGCGCACTGCTGTGGGCTCTTTCGGTGCTGGTATCGGGGTTGGAAAACTTCTTCTGCCTTCTGGCAGCGGAGCCGAGATTCCCAGAGTGCCGATACGTGTACGCCTTCTCCTGGGTCTTGACCTTCCTTGTCTTCGTTCCTCTCATGATCTTCTCCAACTTGATCCTCTCCGTCCAGGTCTGCTGCCACCTCAAGTCCCGTCAACCGGCCAAGCTCTATGTGATCGTCACGGCCACCGTGGTCTTGTTCCTGGTCTTCGCCATGCCCATGAAGGTCCTGTTCATCATCGTCTACTACTCCAACCCCAGCGACGAGTCTGTGTGGAAGTTCTTCCCCTATCTGAACCTGCTGTCCACCATCAATTGCAGTGTGAATCCAATTGTCTATTTCGTGGTGGGAGGTCTTAGGAGAAAGAAAAGTAGAAAGTCCCTGAAAGAAGCGCTGCTGAAGGTCTTTGAGGAAAAGCCAGAGCCAACTTCAGGTGGGAACGCTGCCCCTTCCTCTCCGACCTCGAGGTCCTTAGGACACTCTTAAGGGTCGGAAGCTATCTCCATGGGAAAAGGTAACATGTTCTGAAAACACCTCTCTGCTTTCCCACCCGCAGCTCACCTAAGATAAAAATCAGTTCCTTTGTTCCTCCTGGGAATTAGTAATAGCAACAAGACATGCAGTCCCACGATCCACCTGGCCCCTGTGGCTTCGTGACAGCTAACCTTTTAGGACACTTACTCTCTTCCAGGCACCAAGCCCCACGTTTTACACACATTGTCTCAGTTCATCTCTTAACAACCTTAGGACTCAACACTGTTACTCGGCCATGAAAGGTGAAGGAAGTGGGGCTCCCAGAGGTTTAGTAAAGTTACGGAGCATGGAAGGCCCAGCTGAACGGGACCCGCAGAGCCCGACCCCAAGCCCTCCCTTGCACCCATGATACCCAGGACTGTCTTTGAGAGGTGATATCTTAAACTGTTTGCACTAATGTCTTCAACACCACTCCCCACTGTCTCTCCCTTAGGTCTTCTTTTCAAACCTTGTGCTCCTGATTAGTCAGAGGGAAACGTTTTCTTCTTAGAAAGGAATGTGAATTGTTGGAGATGCAAAGATGACTATGAATACTTACAAGGGACTATCAGCCTGTCCTATAGAAGTGTCCCTATTATTTACATATTAAGAATTCATCCGGGTTCAATCCCCAACACCACAAAAAGAAAAAAAAAAAAAAAGAATTCATCCTGAGATGCGTTGGGGCATAGGAGAGCTATCCCATAAGTCCTTTAAGAATGCCGTCTTGTAATAGTGAGCAGGAACTGCCGGGCTTGGTGGCGCATGCCTATCATCTGGACAATGTAGCAAGTCTTTGCCTCAAAATAAAACTAAAAGTGGCTAGGGATGTAGTTTACTGGTAGAGCACTTGCCTAGCATGTGTGAAGCCCTGGGTGCAACCCTCAGTACTATGAAAATTTAAAAAATAAAATAAAAAGCAAGGGAATTTCAAAAAGAATCACTGAAGCTTTGCTTGAACATGGAAATTTTCACTTTTGTCTCCCTCCCTTCCTTCCTTCCTTCCTTCCTTCCCTTAATCTGTGGTATAGATACATCCATAAAATACAACAGATGGAAGAATACTTTCTTTGCAAAATGTGTACAAAACAAAACCATGTATTTTTCTAGAGAATTTCAGCGCCATGGCTATTACACCATCTCTTCAGCCCACCATCCCTCATTTCTCAATTCAGTTCTGAGTACCCGACTTGAGATGCTGCCAACTCTTTTTGGAATGAGGTGTTTTCTTTTTTTATTACAAAGCAAACATTTCACTGTGGTCCCAAGGCCCTCTGGATGGACTTCACTATTTTAAGCCAAGCCCCAGCACTTTCCAAGACTATTTATAAATTTTGTTCATCCAGCCATTTTCTTACTGGAATTATCTTGCAGTCCAACCTGATCATCATGTAACAAATTCTTAAATTTAATTCCACTTACCTTCGGATTTTGCTGAATGGACTATGATTTGGTGGCACTAGGACAGTTCCAACAAATGATTATCACCAGATATAAATTAGGATGTACTTTTAATAAATACAATAGTGGAATGATTAAAATATGGAATGCTCAATCAAATTGAGCACAATGGGGACTACCAGAGGCTGGGTGGTGGCAACCGCAGGGTACAAAATTTCAGTTAAGAGGAATACACTTTCAGGACCTACTGCACAGCATGGTGACTGGAGTTAACAGTTAATAATAATGTATCGTATATTTCAAAATCGCTAAAAGTGTGGATGTAGCTCAGTGGTGGAACACTTGTTCAGCATGATCGAGGCCCTGGGTTCAATTTCTAGTAACAAAAACAATGACAACACCCACCCCCCCACCAAGGAAATTGCTAAAAGGGTAACCTTTAAATACAAAAACGAAACAAAACACCACACAAAATTATAAAGTCTGCAGGGTGGTGATATGTTAATTAGCTTGTCCTCTTCACTGCATAATGCATACATAGATCACATCACATTGTATCCCACAAAGACAAAAAAATTATTTGTCAAATAAAAAATAAAAAAATTGAAAAGCAAGGCTTGGGGAAGAATTTTACATTCATCAGTTATTTATTTAACCAGACATTAACTGAAGGCCTCTTAGTTGCCTGAGACTGCTCAGTGGGTAAGTCACAGCCCCGGCCTCAGGGTCTCCCAGCCTGAGAGCTGAAGGGACCAGACTCCTACAGAGTTATTATGCATCTTCCCCAGGATCACACAAACTGTGCCACACACAGCGGGCGCTCAAGAAATATCTGGTCCATAAACAAATATATAAATGTAAAATAATATAATAATAGCTGACATAAACCTTTCCTATAAGGAACTAAAGATATTTTATGGATGGATTCTCCTATTTAAATAAACAATAACAGAGATCACGTCTACACTGGGAGATGCCCAGGTTTCTCAGGTCTCCCAGTAATACAGAACATGAGATCAAATATTTGCTCTAAAAGTGACACAGAATCAGTGTGAGAACAAGGACAGAGTGTCAGTGAAAAGCTCTCAGAACTGACCTGTGGTTTCCAGACTTTTTCAGAAGGCCTCCTTGACATCTAACAGGAGCTTTTGAATGTTTCTTTTGATATTTTTAACTTATATTTATTTATATCTCCATCATTGATGTGGTTCACCAAAACAAAGTAAATACTAGAGGTTGAAATAATAACTACAGATGGTTGGAACAGGGTAAATATAGTAAGGAAAGAAAAGCCATATTGGAAAGCTCAGACACTTCCCATGAGGGCTGGTGCAATTGCTAAAGGTAAGTCATACATTTGTTTCTGAGTTTTCTGGAAGTCAAAGCAAAGAGAAAAAAAAAAAAAAAGTTTAGCAATAAGTGTCAAGCTTCTGGTTTCATAGGTATTCAGACGTACACTGTTTCCTGATTCTTTCTGGGAGGTCGTGGGGTGAGGTGTCCTCAATGACATCCCATTCGTAAGTGCAGTAGGAAGGTTTCTAATGTACACTTCTCAGGGTAAGCCAAATACATCCCATCAAAGGGCGATTTTGTAAAGGCAGGCAACTGCCAAGAGAAGGAAGCGATGCTTTCTGAGGACCCAGCTCTGACAGGGCCTCTGGAGTGTCTGGGGATGGAGAACGGCATCTTTTCCTTCTGAGGATGATGTATAGCTATTACTCCTCACAACTGCTTCTTTGATGAGAAAGGGATCCAGAGGGTGCACGGCTGCATTTACAGTTGGGATTCTTGGTGAAGACACCCTCTCTGTGACATCCACAAAAGGCAAAAGGGCAAAAGGGGGTGAAAGTTCTCTTTTCAGCATAGAAAATGAGCCCCAGTAGATCACCCTCCATTGCAGGACAGAGCAAGGGTGTGAAGCTGTTGACCTTTCCAGAAGGGTAAAAACAGGCCTTTCTCCTCTTGGCAGCATCTGTGTGTGCCCTTCTTACCACTCCGGCTAGTTGGAAAAGTCACACTGGCTGGAGGTGTGGCTCAGTCATAGAGCACTTGCCTAGCATGCATGAGGTCTTGGATTCAACCTCCAGCACCACAACCCCCAGAGAGAAAAGAAAAAGAATACAGAAAAAGTTGCAATTGTATTGGTTCTAGGCTATGCTGTTTGTATAGGCTAAAATTATAGCCTGTGACTTCAATTTATTATTTTTGATTATTAGTGACTCTGAACATTTCTTACATTTATGGGCTAGACATTAACATTTGTGTCTGTGTGACTCAGTGTGATTATAAGTTACCCACCATGTCTCCACCCATTCATCCACTAACGGCCCAACATTTTTCTCCTCAATTTAATTGAGCATTCCATATTTTAAGGGATAGTAACCCACTATTGTATTTATTAAAGTACATCCTAATTTATATTTGGTGATAATCATTGTTGGAACAGTCCTAGTGCCACCAAATCATAGTTCATTCAGCAGAACATTAGCACAAAGAGACGGGCTTACCGGATGCACACTTCATAGATCATTTCAGCCTTTACTCAGGATCGGGACCACACCTATGGGAACAGACCCACTTTCCTGGTGGAAAATGAGCCACTGAACAAAGGAGGGGACTGGGCTTATATAGGTTGTGGGTGATTTAGTGAGCATGTCAGTCTGGGCACTGAGGAATTTGAGTTTGGGGCTGGGGGGTCAGTGGCCAGCACCTGGAGAGGCATTATCTTGGAAGAGATTAGTGCTCCCTAGAGACTACCACTTTAGGATTGATGACACATTTTTTCCCCTGCCTGCGGCCAGCATCTGAAAGAGATTTACCTTGAGAAAGTCTGGCTTTTTCATTCCCTTTTCCCAGGCCTCATTATTTGGGGGTTTTTCATTTTCCATATCCAATAGCTCCTGCCCACTCCGTCAACCATGGCACCCTCAGAGTCACCACATGGGTTAGGGGTTGGTGGGCTCCACCACATTCTGTCCCCTGGGGTGTGTGTGTGTGTGTGTGTGTGTGTGTGTGTATGTGTGTAGGGCTGTTCAAACCTGGGCTCAGATCCCTCCTAGCTCATCAATGCTTGATTGTGGTCCTGGGCAAGTTCCCCAAGTCCCCAAGGCCCCCTGCTTCTTCATGCTGGTGGAGGGGGACAATGTGGACATCTGCCTCCCAGGACACAGAAGGATGTTGCATCCATTATCAGAAGGGCTTGTCACAGCAACTGTCAGTAGTGAGGACCATTGTGGACAGTTTTTAAAATTCCACTCTTGGTGCCTTCCGGGGATCACCTGTGGGGTTTGACTGAACCTTTGGTTTCCCGATGCAAACAGAGTCGTGGGGGCCCAGGTGACAGGGTGGGACACATTTTACTAAACCAAGTTCAGGGAAGGTATCAGGAAGTTTCCCTCAAATTCTCCTCAAGTAGCAATTCCACCAACAACACGTCTGTGTGGCTCGAGCGCCGGCTCACTCTCCCGAGACCCCACAAAGGCTGTTCAGGGCTAGGCAGAAGAATCTCACCTGGGGTGCATTGAAGTGTTGAGAGTGAAAATCAATTGCAAGGAAAAGTCAAATCAAAGTTAAGACGAAAGAAAGAAAACAATCCTATTTGGTTATTTCTTTTCAAAGATATCTGGAAAGAAACCAGGAAGGAAGAATGCAAGTTCTGTACAATAATATTTTGCCCACTGAATATTTTTTCCTAGCTGTAGATGGACACAATACCTCTATTTTGTTTATTTATTTTTATGTGGAGCTCACACACGCTAGGCAAGTGCTCTCCCACTGAGCTACATCCCCAGCCCCTCACACTGAATAATTTCTAAAGAATATTTCTGTAGAAAAGTTCTATCATGGGCTGGGGTTGTGGCTCAGCGGTAGATCGCTTGCCTCTCACATGCAAGACCCTGGGTTGGATCCTCAGCACCACATAAAAATAAATAAGTGAAATAAACGTGTTGTGTCCAACTACAACTAAAAACTAAAATATTAAAAAAAAAAAGTCCTGTCATCACACAAAAAAAGAGAGCAGTTGTGTTTACAACAAAAACAACATTGACCAGTGTAAAACCCTCTTATGTTCCCTATTTTTGGCCTTTCTGTTCTTAATAAATAATTCTAATGATGATTTTCAATACTCTGTTTCTTGTCATCTTTTTAACCCTTCTGGAAATAATTGAAATGATCCCTTCCTGAACTTTGATCACTTTCTTAAAAGTACAGAACTTTTTAAAAAGGTAGCTGTTTCTCTTGGGGGTAGGATTGCTAGATGGATTTAACAAAACTATTAGATATACATGATGCAAACTTGTCAACCTACCAGATTTTTTTTTAATGGCATTTCTTAATTTCTTCTCAGCTGAAAACACAAAACTCAAAGTGCTCAGTTCCTAACCAGCCCTTGAGCAATTCAATGTGGAGGGTCCTCAGTGTCAAAGTCTCCTTTTCTCTGGGTCCAGAGGGTCTTGAGGCATTCATGCACATAGGTTATCTAAAGGCCAGTCAGCTGCCACCCTTTCTCCAGAACCAAACAGTGCAAGGGGTTATTTTCTGTCCCAACTATTACAGAGGACTAACTGTGGTTCACCTTCCAGATTCATCCTAAGAGGAGCTGGAAGGCTCAGGAGGCCATTATAAGTCCCATCTCTAAGGATGTCCACAGGGAGGTGTGTTCACTTGATCTGCACACACACCAAAGGGCATGAAGTGGCTGACGCAAATGAATTAAATGGAAAGTGAAATGGGTAACAGTGGAAATCAGAAAAGCACAGGTAGCACCGGAGATGAAGGCCAAGGGGAAAACAAAGATGTGAACATGCAGGCCACGGTCATGTGTGGCCACGGTCATGTGTCGTCACATTGCATCAGGTACAGGGTGTGGGCTTTCTGCATTCAAAATAAAAAGAAAAACCTGGGGCCGGTGGGGAGTGACCGGCATTCTCTGCAGGCCACCTGGTTCCTGGGTAGGGCTGGTGGAGGAGGCAGGAGACACACAGGCTGCGCTTGCTCTGAACGGCTTCTGCCATGGATCTTCCGGGGGATACAGGCTTAGAATCCACCCTACAGTAAACGCAGCTCTGGCTGTTTTAAGCACCTCTATTGAGATCTACTTCACTAGCCACCAAAGTCACCCATCTAAAATGTACAGTTTAATGGCTTCTAGAATAGTCACAGACTTACATAACCATTGCCACAATCTAGTTTTAGAACATTTTCTTCTCCCCTCAAATAAAGCCCATGCCCATTGGCAATCACGCCCCAGATCCCAACAGCTGTGGATCTCTCTCCAGTCTCTATGTATTTGTCCATTCTGTGCATTTCCTATAAATGGAATCAGACAACGTGTGGTCATTTGTGACCAACTTCTTTCTTAGCATGTTTTCAACCAATATTACAGCATGTATCTGTATTTCATTCCTTTTTATTGCCAAATAATATTCAGTTGCATGGACACTTCTGATGCTTCCTTTCATTAAGCAGAGAGTAATTCCAGGGGGGTGGTGGGGTAGATGGCTTTCTAACTGTCCATGAAATTAACAGAATATCTAAGGAATTTGATGCATAGTTAGTCTTTCAAATTATGGCTGTACATTTTTTCCAGGTGAGAACTTGATCAAATTTGAGCAGAAACAGCCCGCATATATCCTGGTGGGCAAGACAGATTCTGGGGTTGGCCAACAGTGACACACAAACTTCAAAAATTAACTGATCAGCTGATGGGATTGAGAAACTTTTGGGAAAATTAAGAAGCCGAACTAAGATTCATGCTCACAACAGCAGTTTTCCATCTGTGTATGGAACACCCAGTACACGGAGAAGCACTTACCGTCAAGTTGGGGTTTTACTTAGAAAACCGTTCTGGCTCTCCCATAGCTTGTGAACAAAAAATGAAGGTACATAGCACAGAGCCCATCTCAGACTTGACCCTGAAGACTTCCAGAGCAGGAGTCAGCATGGCCCATCATGATCATAGAAAAATCTTAATGCACTGGCAAAAAGCTTGAATCTGAGAATGTGGCTTCCACATCAACCCAAAAATGAATAGACTGTCAGGTGAACTTCCGAGTGAGAACATGAGTTCCCCTGCTGCATACCCTTCCTGGATACGGACTGATGAAATAGGGGCGAATTATGTGCCAAAACAAAACCATTTTGAGTTTAATGTAGGTGATTTAGAAATCATTCTTCTTATACAATTTAGGTTGTAGGGTCAGTTATCTACTGATTGTGCTCCTAGTTTATGATAAAAATAATTTAGAAGGATACTCATCTTTCTAGTCTGAATGGCTCTTTTTTTCCTGCCCTGGCATCAAAACCATTCTGCCTCTTGCTTGTGTGGGAAGCAGAGGACATGGCACAGTTCCTCTCTGTACCCCATGGCCACCACAACTCAGGCATAGGACTGAGGTGCAGCCTATTAGAATCTTCCGGTCAGGACTGTTCCATTCATTAAGCAGATGTCCACTGAGCCCTGCATGTGCCTGGCACTGTTTAAGGCACTGCAGATAAAAATAATAATAAGTAGAGAAAAAGGACAAAGAGTGACAGAGGTATTATTATGTTTCTATGGTGGTCAGGGATGGCATCTGTTATTGTTTAGATATGAGGTTCCCCCCCAAAAGCTCATGCATAAGACAATGTAAGAAAATTTGGAGGTGAAATGATTAGGGTTTAAGAGTCTTAACTTAATCAGTGCGTTAATCCATTTGAATGGTTAACCGGGTGGTAACGGTAGGCAGGCTGGGCTTGGCTGGAGGAGGTGGGTCACTGGGTGCCTGACTTTAGGGTTTGCATTTTGTCCCCCTCTCTGTTTATCTGCTGCCTGGTGGCCAAGTCCTGAGCTGCTCTCCTCCTCCACACCCTTCATGAGGTTCTGTTGCACCTCAGGCCCCCCAAAATAGAGTTGGCTGTCCTGGGACTGAGGCCTCTGAAATCAAGAGCCCTGAATAAACCTCCTCCTCTAATATCGTTCTTGTGGGGTCTTTTGGTCACAGTGATGAAAAAGCTGACGAAAACAGCATCTCGTAGAAGTGGCATCTGAGCAAAGGGCTGGCTGGAGCGAGGAAGCTCGGTTTAGAAATCAGGTGTTGCAGCAGCAGCAGAGCCAAGGGAACAGGAAGGGGCTCCCTGGGACCACATGGGCACAGAGGTGACAATGGTGATGACGACACGAGACGGCACTGGAATGAAGAACTGACCAGGTTGAGTTCAGAGAAATGGAGCTTCTAAAACCAGAGTGGGACTGAGCAAATAAGGCTTTCCCACGGCTGTGACGTGTCTGCAGGTCCTCCGAGGGTCTGTCGTGATTGGAGGCTTGGTCCTTCAGGGTGGGGATATTGGGAGGTAGAGGAGGTTTGGGAGACGGCCTAGAGGAAGGTCTCCCGGTCTTTGGGGGCCAGCCCTCACAGGGGATTGTGGGACCAGCATAGATCTCTTTCTCTGCAGCTCAGGGATGACTGCTGTTCCCACACCTTCCACCATATCCCATCCTCACAAGAGAACAGGCCAGTGTGGCCTCCAAAATTGTGAGCCAAATAAGCTTGCCTTCTATTAGGTTAATTGCCTCTGGTGTTCTGTTGTAGCGATGCAAAGCTGGTATTTTCATTTTGCTCTTCCTAGACCTATGAGAGAGAAGTCAGAGGGTGAGAGAAAGTTGCCAAGCACAGTGGCCTGTCTTTGTCAGACCAGGAAATGAAATACAGTTTGTTGAAACATTAAAGAAATAAAATTGATATTGGTTTGTCCTTAGTTGATTGGCAAGGAACAAAAACTGTTCTGTTTCCTCCTTTGTAAAATGGCAATATTAAGAGAATGAACTTTGGATATTTCTAAACTGAGGTTCCCTGTCCCCACCCATCAAGGCCCACCATCCATCAAAGCCAGGGACGTAAATTGTCCCAGGGGAAGGCAGGCTGCAGCTTTGACCAAAAAGTCACATTCTTGGCTTCTGAGCTTAATTTATACAGAATTTTGGAAAGACGGAGCAGAGTCGACTGTATGGAAGCCAAAGCATTCTTGATTTGCAAAAGCTGGCTCTTCGGAGAGGTTTTATTTTGTTTATTTTTTTTTCACATTTCTGACGACTTGGCATGACATCTCCATAGCAGGCCTCCTGGATTCTGCGGAGTTGACAGGGAAATCATGGGTAGGAAAAAATACACCACGATAAAGGAGCAATTTTCCATCCAAACAGAGATAAGTGCTCGAGCAACCAGGCTGGCGGGAAGCCGGGGCTGGCAGGCCGGGGGCCCAGGGTGGGAGGGGGGCTACAGAAGAAAAGCCTCAATGGGCTGAGGGACTTCGGAGCCAAAAGGCTCCAGAGCACCTTCCTGGGGGCAGTGCAGGACCCTGAGGGCAACCTCCATGGGAAAAACCCATAACCAGGGAAGTCACACTGGATGGGCGAGAGGCCACCCTTGAATTAGGCAGCTCTGTCAGGAAAACAGATACCACCTGCAGGAATCGGACGCGGCCATTTGGTTCTGTAGATGACAGAAGGGCTGAAAGGACAGATGGGACGTGAGGACCCCCAGAGCCTGCAACATTGGACTCGGCCCCCTGGGGAGGGGCTAGAGGATGGAAGCTGTTGCTGAGGCCAGGAGGATACATGGGTGCTGCCCAGGAAGCCAAGAGGGCGGGTGACATATGCGGGCTCCTCCATTTCTCCTGCACTGCTCCAAGGCCTCCCACTGACTAAACCCAGCTGACACCAGCAGGCATGTCACCTGAGAAACACAGCCTTCAGGGCTGGCCCTCTGAGATAGGTGGCTAATTGCTAGAGAGTGGCTCTCAGGACAAATGGGCTCAGAAGTCACCATGACCCAGGGACTGTGGCAGCCCTGGTGGACCAAAGACTTAGGGTGGGAGCCCAGTGAACTCCAGTCCCAGCCAGAACCCAGGTGCCGAGCATGCCCATGGGGACAGAAGAGACACACAAGGTTTCAATAGGTGGCAGTGGGAAGAGAGCAGGCAGTAGCAGGGTTGTTCTCTCTTCAGCCACCTAAAAACTGGCTTCAAACACCCGTGTTCCAGGATGCCCGCCCTTCTCCTGAGGCAGAATCAGCAGTGCCAGAACCCACCAGGCCCCAGCTCTCAGTGCGGGTGACCCTGCAGGCAGGCTGCCCTCCCACAGTCATACTATGTCGTCACTCTGCTCTGACAGCACCTCCTGCTTTTCCTCCAGTGTCTCTCGCTGTTGGAAATGACTTGAATGTTAAGTTCAGCGCTGGGCTGCCCTCCTAGGCTTCCAGCCCACGCTCCTCGAGACTGGACCTCGATGGTTTTGCTGTTCCTTGGATTCCTGGGGCCAAGCCCAATGCCTCCGCAGTATGGTGCTCAGTCAGCATTTGCTGAAGGGAATAAATGAGTGATGGAGGAATGGGGGCAGTGGGGTCTCTTCCCTCAGCTCTGCCAGGTCTGTCCAAATAGCCCCTTCTCTGCTTGTGCCATCAGACTTTGTTCTTGGAAACGGGGGCCAAGAGGGCTGCAGAGACGGGCTGAGGCAGCAGGACCTGGAGGGGACACCAGCTCCAGGAAGCGGTGCCGTGGCGGGGAAGAGCACCCACCAGACCCGAGGGATCTTGAGCCACACAGCAGCTGCAGCCACAGGCCCCCTGCCCCAGAACCAGCTCCAGAAGCGCCCCTCACCTGCTCAGTACTTTGTACACCTCCGAGAGATTGCAGACCCATGGGAAATGCAGCTCCTGCAATTGTGGAGAACAAATCACCAAGAGAAGAACACTGTGCTGTCGTCCATCTGCTTCAGGTCATGCCCAGTGGCAGCCGAAGTGTCCTGGAGAACCCCACGCCCACCACCTCTTCCTTCTCCTCCAGCGTCCCGACTGCCTTTACTCCTCAAGTGCAGGGCCAGGGACCCAGATCCTGGGGTTCCCCAGAGGGCTTCCCACAGTCCAGGCTGGGAACGACTGCCCACCACCACCTCACACCACCTCCCTCCGCAGATGAGCATAGGGGTCTAGAAATACGGAACCCGAGGTGCTCCACGGAGGCCTGGACACTTGTGGAATACCAGGCATTCTAGAACAAGAGGGACGGGGAGTGCCCGGCCTCGGAGCCCTAGGAGTTCATCAAAGCTAGAAACCCATGAAGTACAAAAACCAGAGCCTTTCTGGACAAAGAGGGACCAAGGGACCCACTCCTATTTTTGTGGCTTTTTTTCTTGAATAGCTCAATTTAATTACTTAAGCGAAGCTACTCTTGTCCACACTTCAGTATCTGTCCCTCTCTGCCATCTCGGTTTTAATTTCACTTCAATAACTTTTTAATATAAAAAGTTACATAAGTCTCATACCTCAAATCTTAGGTAGGTAGTAAACTTTGTGTATACTTTTCCCTGTTCAACAAAAGTATATAACTTTCATAGAATTGTGATCACTAAGATACTGAGTTATATATACTGATATTTTAAAATAGGCCATTTCTGATTTTGAAGGGGTATAAGCCTATACTGTGAAAACTTGTGGCATACAGAGAAGCCTGAGAAATAAATTAAGAATCTTCCCAAGAGATAACATTTTAATGCATGTTATTAGTTTTTTGAAGGTAACTCAGCTCGGAATGCATGCACCCCGCTTGCCCCCACAGGTGTGGTCATGAGGATAGAAAGAGCCTAGAGGTAGCTTCAGTGATGAGTTGTTTATTAGGTCTTCCCCACCAAACACCACCATCCCCTGGAGTCCAACACACAACAGTCCAAGCTATTTCATTAAGTGTCAAGACCCATAAAAATCATCACCCAAGCTCTCTTTGGCCATAAAAACAGACATTGGAAGACCCTGTATGGCTCTGCTCCCACAGAGAACTGGTCGAAAGCAGTTCTCTCTCCACGCTGGGAGCCAGTGAGGGAGCACTTGGCACCAGCTGAGGTTTTCAGAATTGGGTCTCAAGATGACAGCAATTTGACAGCTGGGACATGAGACAACACAATGATGGCAGAGAGGGACAGCAGCAGAGTGAATGAGTCTCGATGACACTGGGACATGAGAACCACACTTCTGACATGGGGACACCAGAGGCTTTCTTCCAGAACTGGGAGAAATGAGGTTCCCAGGGAGCCCAGAGGACCAACCACCACCAGGGGGTGTGTGCTGAGGTCCCACAAAAGGGCAAGCCCTGTCCTCTTTAATTTTTTTTTTTTAGTTGTAGTTGGACACAATACCTTTATTTTATTATTTTTATGTGGTACTGAGGATCAAACTGAGTGTCCCACACATGCTAGGTGAGCATTCTACGGCTGACCCACAACCCAGCCCCACTCTATTTTTATTTAATTTTTACTTTATAAGACAAGGTCTCGCTAAGTTGCCCAGGCTGGCTTTGGACTACTCGTCTCCTCCTGCCTCAGTCACCTGCCCAGGTAGTGGAATTACCTTTATGCAGCACCACGCCCAGCTTAGCCCTGACCTTCAGATGTTTGTCACGTGTCCTGTTTTGTTAACCCGTTTAAAATTACACCAGGGTAATTTTGGTGTGATTAGCAAAATGGTTGACAGCTCTGATATTTGAAAAAGAAAAACAAACCATTAAGGATATCCAATGGCTCCTGACCCCTGCAGGCAGCGTGGGCAGGAAGAGCTGCCCACCCTGGCGGAGGCAGATCCTGCTCTGGGTCTCAGAGCCTCTACTTCACAGGGCTGGAAGAGCCAGTGCTCCCCTCCAAGGTCCAGGGAGAAGCAAATGAACTATTTAGCTGCAGTGCATGGACAGCTGAGTCTAGCGTGCAGCGATTGCCGGACACGACCACAGGTTATTGCTTATAAGGGACAAGAGCGTCCTCCCTGCCACTTGGGGCATCACTCTGTAGGGGCCCTTGCTATGTAGGCGCCAGCCCTCCTCCAGCCGGGACCTGCCAACCTACTGTCACAGTTACTCAGCTTTCCCTCTAGGTGGAGGGCAGCGACTGTGCCTAGCTTCAGCCTTGAACCATGCCACCAGCCTGCAGGGACAGGAGACTGTCTGCATCCCAAAGGAGCTTACACCGCAAAGAAGACACATGTAACTAGGGACAAAAACGGCTGCATAAATTAGAAGAAGCACGGCAAATACAGTACAAGGTGACAGAGTAGCACCTCCATGAGGCGGTCACAGGGACCTGGTAGGAGGGAAGGTGTAAGGCACCAGCAGCCCCCAGGAGGCCGACTCCACTCTGCGGCCACCCTGCAGCCCCCAAGCTCATCCTGCACACACACTCTGAAGGTGGCAGTCACCAGCTGGTACAGGAACTGTGGAGACAACAGCCAGGGCACATTAAGTGCTGCCACCTCACGCAGCCTCAGACTAGAGGCCATGGTCTCAGCCTCCCACAAGTAGCCTGGGTGGGTGTTTTCGTTTAGTGCCTTTTTAAAATTTTTGCTGCCATCCTGATCTGACTCCCCAACCTCCAGAACCAGGAGAAATATATACATGTCTGTTGCTGAAGCCACGCACCCAGTCTGTGGTCCTTTTGTTACAGCAGCCAAACAAAGAGGTACTTGAAGGATGTAAAGAGAAAGGTTAGTTAACATTAAGATGAAGACTGCTATTTCGAGTCACAATTTCATGCTAAAATGTTAAACTACAAAGA